AGTCAGCAAGTAATCCTTAATAACCAGCAACAGTTTGGGCAAAGATTAACCAATTTAGAACAGCAGGCCTCCCAGCAATTCACCAATCTCCTCAACCAAGTCCAAAGCATTAAATCCATTCGTCTCTCCCATGAGAGAAAACAAATCGATTATAATTTACAGCAAGCCGATGAGTCCAATAAATATTAACCATGTCCTTTTTTCCTGATTTAACCCCCTTAACTAACGAAGTTAAAAAGTTTAATGAAACCCAACAGGAAATTATCTCCTTGTTAAAAGAACAAAATCAATTATTAAAAAAAATCCTAAATCAAAAATAATATGACAACCAGATTAGACGAAAACGAAACTCAACAAAACCGGTTCACTAATAAACGCAATATCTTAGTCCGGGAAGACTTAGAATATTCCGCCCAAAAACTATTTACTTACGCAACGATTGGCCTAACTGCCATTGGCATTTATGTCTCAGTAGCCTATTTAGTAGTCCAACAATTAAAAAAATAAACCTTTAAAAATATGACAAGACCTAATGAAAATATCGAAAACGAAAACACTTGAACTTCCTGAGCCACTGGTAAATTAGCCATGTTCGCCATCGGATTAGCGGCCGGCTATTTCCTTTATCAGAGTGGTATACTCCAAAAACTAACTGGGAAACTATTTTCCAAAAAAGAAGCTGATAACCCCAGTAAAAGCCAAGAAAGAAGCCGCTAATAAAATCGGCTTTTAACCTAGTAAAAGAAAAAAATTATGACTGACTTTCCCAAATCCCTCCTGATGTGAGCCAATCAAGACCCGCACTACCCTAATAGTTTCATTATCAAGATCGATAAGCAAAAATTATTAGGACTAGTTCGCACGGATAAGAATGGCACTACTTACTGGAAATTCAAAGCAAGAAATAAGAAGCAAGTCATTAAAGAAAATAACCCTCAATCCAGCCCAGTAATGGATAATATTCAGAAATTTCAGCAACGGCAAGCCCAAACTGAACAAAGACCAAACCTGGTCGAAAACCAATTAAAAAATTATGGAAATAACTCTAACGCAAGTGAGAAATAACCAAGTAGTTTCTACTACTGATTTAACTAAGGTAGTCGGTGATTTAAATGGTAGTTTATCAACCTTAAAGCCTGATAATTCCGAAACTACTAAACTAATTACTTACGCCCTAGTTGCTACGGCAATTGTCGGAATCTTTGTTTATCACTATATTAAAAACCAAGAGAATTTATAAATTATGGGAATAAAAGACTATTTACCCGACTTCAAGGGAGCCCTCAATAACTTTTATGATGAGAAATTAAAAGATACTATTGAAAACAAAAGCACCGAGTATAAGAATTTAGCCAGTGATTTTATTGCTAAAAGTTTAAACTATCAAAAAGCTATGTTAGCGATTGGCTTGGGAATTTTCCTGTTATTGGCTCTGGCCTATTTCTGAAATGAATAATCTTTGATTATTCCATTGTTGTAAACAAAAAGATGAAAACGAAAGAAATTAATATAACCATTTAAAACTTATGAAACCAAATTACAAATACCTGGCCTTAGGTATCCTCGTGGGATATCTTTTGCCCTACATTATCGAATTAACACAACAAAAAAAGAACCAGGAAATTCTCCTGGAAACTAACGAATAATTATGTCCAAAACTAAATGATTAATTTGATTCTCGATTTGTGCTGTGGTCGGTTTTTACATTCGGAATAAATACCGGCGAAGGACAATTTCGGAGATTTAAAGAATATTTTTAAGAAATAAACGATCTGAAAGATAAAGTTTTTAATTTTACTCTTTTGGATTAATTTTAATTTACCGAAATTGTCCTCAAAAAAAGAAGTAAAAAAATAATTTATATATGAGTAAAAAAGCAGAAGAT